GAATACTTAAAGGCAGTTATTGTTTTCTGCGTTATTCCAAATATTCACTGAATAACTTCCGTTGAAAATTGAAACTTATCCCATTCGAAAGTGGATAGATATGATTTTAGCCACCGTATAAAAGTAAACACAAGTAAGTTTACTCTCCGCCATATTTGGGTCAAGATTCCCCACCTTGAATTTTATGCGCGGCTGACCGACAGCGCATCCGACTGAATCTGAGGCGTTTACCAAGCGAGCCAAGTTGAGGCATGGAATATTATTACAGAGTGAGTCGTTGTGAGTGATAGTTTGGTATTTGTGGAAAAGTTGTGTCTGGTTTAAAAATGAACAAGGGTCGAGCTGTGTGTTGCTGTAATTTGCAGGGTGATGTCGGCATTCATTTTTTTCGATTTCCAATTGACGAAAAAAGGTAAGTTTCTTTTTCTTGTATTTATTATGTAAGATTGAATTAATGAACATATAACGAAAATCATATAATACATTGTTATAGACCATATATGTATATACTTCTTGGGGTAAAACTCCCGAGGAAATTTGAGTTTATTGCAAGAATCAGGATAAAATAAATTGAAATCATGTGGTTACCGAAATTCGATAAAATACACTCAAAAACTTAAATGTAACGCAAAATCTAATGAAATGTAGAATACGAAAAAGAACTATGGAACGAAGAAGATGTTCAAAATTATCACCGCGAACGTCTTGGCAACATCCTACTCTCAAATAAAACTGTCTTCTGACATTATTTAAAATATCAGGCGTGACCGACCTAATTGCAAGCGTTATTCGTTCTTTTGAGTCATTCAAAATGTTCAGTTTTGTACACACTGCTCTTCACATGTCCCCATAAAAAGAAATTCAATGATGAAAGATCAGGTGAACGCGCTGGCCGTTCAATCGATCATCGCCTCCCTATCTACCGATTGGAAAATAATGTATCGACGAGGTATCGCCGGACATTAACTTGTTAATGTGGTGGTACTTCATTCTGCTGAAACCATATTGTATTCACTGGAATTTGAGGGGTTTCCAGGATCAGAATATGAATCGCTTAACTTGGAATGACATAATTTTGAAGTAGTGCCCAATTATTATCGCCATTCAAGTTGCCCTCAATGAAAAAGGGACCAATGATGGTGTTTCCTAGAATCCCTGCCCAAACATTAACCTTTTGAGGGTGTTGCGTGTATTCTTGTCTTATCCATTGAGGATTTTCCGTTGACCTGTAGCGGCAATTTTGTCGATTAGCATGACCGTTAAGAGACAAAGTACATTCATTAGAAAACATATCATCTTATGATTGGATGATATTGTTATCCAACATGTCCATCATTTGCTCATTAAAATACGTTCTTCTATCAAATCGTCTTCCATGAATTCCTGAATACGTATCATTTTATAGGGATGCATTTTATTTTCTTATGATATGTTTACTATCGATGTATAGCTAACATTGAATGTACCGGATGCATGTCTACTCGATGTATGTGGGTTTTCCCCAAATATAAGCGTCACATCTAATTTGAGTTCATCACTCATTGCATTGGCGACTGCTTTCTTTATCTGTCCCACATGAGCAAACTCGCGAAACTGCTTCTCTATTTCACTTATTTTTCCTTGAGATATCAGCGGTTAATTAGGAAATTTCTCATGAAATAGGCGAGCTACTTCCTGTTGTGTTCGGGTTTTATCTCCGTAACCAATCATTTGTAAAACTGTTATTTTATGCATTTCCGTTAACCTAACCATTTGTCAGACTTGGAGCTGATGAACTTCAAACTCAAATTAAAATACTGACAACTGATTTTTCAACATACAAAACAAGTTGACAAGGCGTTTCAAACTAACGTTGCACGGAAATTATTTACAGTTTTCAAAGGATGTCTTCTAAAAAGAACATTGCTATAGTTTTTGCCTACTCTCTTATTATCAATGCCTTGTAGCATTCATAAAAACCTACTGTACTTTTCATTTAATTTTTATTTCACCGAAGGTAATCCTAATTGATTTTAAAGAAAGTTTCTGAGGAGTAGGCAATCCAATTTACACCTTTTGCCACGCTAAGATTTTCACTTCTCATTACACATATGATAATTAGTTTCTGGTACAGATTGATAAGTTTTTCTTTCCAATAGGACTGATTCATTCGGATCCCTTCGCGGTAGATTTTCAATTTCCGTTAAACCGAAAGTCAGGAATGAGATGTTGCCAAAATTATTTGGGTGAATTCCTCAGAATAGACTTGCGCTGTAGGTGATCCTTGATCATCAGAACGAAGAGAGTGGTGCCATTTTTTTTTGGAAAAGAGAGTGATGAACGGGAATCTAGAGAAGGGATTTGTTAAGTGGTGAGCCGTGTGGTCCATTTTCAAGAATTTGAACGATATCGTTTCGGATATAGTTTCATGTACAGATTTTGAAAGTTCCATAAAAGGTTGCACTTCCTGAGGATTCTACTGGGTCACAACCACTTTTCCAGAACGAGCGACGCTATTTCCTTGAATACGTTATTCGTAATTTTTTTGGTTAACGGAACCCTTCGTTTAAGAAGGTATGAAAATTCATTTCGAACCTTTCAATTGCGTATGAGATTCACCTTTTAGTGAATCAAACTTTTGAATAAATTTCCATTATGGAAATTGTTTTTTAGGGTTTTAGTATTGGAGACTTTTTACAATAGTTTTTCTGCTGAAGAACTTCTACAGAACTTGTTTGGAATCATTAAAGAGGGAAAAACAAGGACTTCTGTCTCTGATTGCCTTACGGAATAGATTTTCAGTTAATATACCGAATGGTGGGTTTTTCATTCGTCCAGTTCGACAAATGTTATTGTTTACGTCCACGAGATAGTCTAAGTCCATTTTAAAAATTAGAAAAGTACGTGCTCCAAGTCTGTCCCATTCCTGGTCGAAGAAAACTGCAGCTACAGCTCGACGAGAAACTAACAGGCAAATATTACTTACACTTGACTCATTTTTCCGAAAATAACTACTTTTTGCATTAGAAATACTGTTTTATTAACATGATACAATCATTGAATTTTGAGTTAATCCATTCATAATGTAAACCTGAACATGATTTTGTCATTTCCTGAAAATTATAATTATAATTCATAATTGGAGAGATCAAAATTTGAGCTGGTATGCCGCAGAAGAATGACAGTTGTAGTACTAAACGTTTCGTTTGCTGCTGCAGCAGACATCATCAGTGGTATATGTGTCGATTGCAAGGACGGAGGACTGACTGCAATAATTGTTGAGACTTCGAGGTATAACGCATATACCACTGATGACATCTGCCGTAGTAACAGACGAAACGTTTGATATTACTAGTTTCATTCCGGCTCGGATTTTGTTCTCTCGAATCATGACCCAGGCCTTGGAGTTATGTTCCTTTTTGGAAAAGAAAGGTTTTGGCTTTCTACTTCCCATCTTTGAATAAAACATGTGGGAATCTTCCAAAGAAAGGAAAGAAGCAATCAATTTACAAGAGTTAACTCTATGTAACTCATGTTTCTAACATATACAGCGTGACTCACGGTCGATGGTAGGTTAGACGTTTCTGGAAAACGCAAAGCATACTTTTTCTGAAAATTTCACCTCTCACATTTCCTTACCTGCTTTATCGATCTAAAATATTTTCAGCATTGCTGCGTTGCCACTTCTATCAAAAAGTCCTAGCAACTTTATTTTTTTCAATGGAACACCCCATATATTAATACATTTTTGGAATCGCTCTGGTATTTTAATACTTTTTTGTTAATAATGTTCTATACCTGATGAGTGAGTGAAT